TTTACAAAGAGTTTTGTAAATGCAGTTTTTGGCTCAGTGATTTTAGTGGAGTTTGGGAAAATCCTACTGAGTAGTAGGTCGTGGTTTTTTCACCTTTTGAGCCAGGTGTTTTCCACATAAAAATCTCTGTGCACTTTACTTTCAGTATTTATTATTCCGCAAACTGCTGTAGTTAGAACACTTAGAAGAACCAGGTTCTTCTAACGCGAAAATTAGGTACCACACAAATCTCCCCCCCTCTTGTGTGGTATTGACGTTTAAAACATCAATTGGTATCAGAGCAGGTTATCCTTGAAGAGGTTAACACCTTAGGAAAAGATCAACATGAGTGCACCACCTGGGAACTAGGAAGGGCAATCCACTACCAGGCCTCCTCTCTTCAATGGCCTCTACTACTCCTGGTGGAAAACAGAATGAGGGACCATATAATGGGCGAAGACTATGAGCTTTGGGATATCATCACTGATGGTCCTTTAGCCACAACCAAGAAGAATGCTGAAGGAGTGGATGTTCCAAAGACAAGAGTAGATTGTACTGCTGAAGATCTAAGAAAATGGGAGAAAAATGCAAAAGCCAAGAAATGGTTAGTGTGTGGACTTGGTCCTGATGAGTACAGCAGGATTCAAGGCTATACTACTGCTAAGGAGATTTGGGACACTTTACAAGTGGCTCATGAAGGAACACCTCAGGTGAAGAGGTCAAGAGGAACACTGTTGTATTCTCAATATGAGAATTTTACTATGAAGGATGGAGAAACTATCCAAGAAATGTATACCAGGTTCACTACACTGACAAATGAACTTGAGTCTCTTGGAAGGATTATCGTGGAAGAAGACAAGGTGGAGAAGATTCTAACTAGAGTTCTGCCAATCTCCAGGGAAAGCAAAATCACTGCCATTCAGGAATCCAAGAACATTGCTACTTTAAAGTTGGATGAACTGATTGGAAATCTCACTGCCTATGAATTGAGAAGGCAAACAATGAAGATGGATGCTCCAAAGAAAGAAAGAAGTCTGGCTCTCAGAATTTCAGAAGGATCAGATCTTGAAGATGATGAAATGGCTATGATAACCAGAGATTTCAAGAAATATCTTATGAGAGGAAAGGGTGCTTCAAAAGGAACAACATTCAGCAAACCAGGGCTCCTGAGAAACAAACCAATGAGGGGTGTTACAAGTGTGGGAAGACTGATCACCACATCAGAAACTGCCCTCAATGGGAGATTGAATGGAAGAAAGAAAGAGCTGAAAGAAGAAACAGGAAGAAGGAACATGTTCAACCAAAAAGAAACAAAGGTTCAACTAAGGCTATGGNTTGAACTTGATGTTAGGCAGCCCTATCACCAGGTCCTTGGAGACTAATTTGTTGAGTTGACTCAGACTTGCATGTCCAAGTCTCTTGTGCCAAATGAGGGGATAATTGTCCAACACACTTAAGCAAGTGAGTTCATTTTCTAAAAGTGTGGACAAATCTACAATATATATATATATATATATATATATATATATATATATATATATATATATATATATATATATATATATATATTACTCTTTTCGTTTAAAAGATATTGACACTATTTTCTNAGTGGACAGATCTACAATGTATATATATATTACTCTTTTTCCCTGCAAAACAATCTTGTCAGTGGTAAGATTAATCACAAAACATTTGGTAGAGGTGAATGCTACCAAGTTACCTCTATGACACAATTGTGATACACTGATTAGACTGTATTTTAGGCCATATATCAAGTAGACATTCTCAATAGAGTGAGAATCAGTCTTACCTACCTTTCCAACCCCAATGATCTCACCTTTCTTCCCATTTTCAATGGAGACATTACCTCCTTTGAGGTCCTCAAGTGAATGGAACTAGTTCTTGCTTCCTGTCATATGCTTTGAGCAGCCACTATCCATGTACCATATTTGGCTGCTCCCCTTCACTTAGACCTGCAAAAGAAAATCAGGGGTTAGTCTTAGGAACCCAAACTAGTTTGGGTCCCTTTCTATAGGCAAAAGGGTGAATCAGATTCTTTTTAGCCCAACTGGGCAGCCTATTTTTCCCTTGAACAAATTTCTTATTCTTTTGACTAGCCTTTTCTTTTGCAGTGCATTCACTTTTATAGTGACCAGTTTTACCATAATGTGTGCAAATTTTGTTCTCAGGAAGTGTGAGGTACTTGCTTTTGGGATCCCTTTTAGGTGCAGGGGTCCTGTAGCCAAGTCCTCTCTTGTTGCTACTATGGTGTTCATGTAGCCATGAAAGTGCATCGGAGGACCTGTTCCATTTACAGGTTCTGTCGAGCTCGTGCTTGACCTTGCTTAGATCCTCATTTAGGACTCTTATCTGCTCATCTCTTTTGTACAACTCATCTTTCATTTTTTCTAAATTTTCTTCTAGAGTGAGTTAAGTGTGATCAGCTTTCTTTTTACCTGTTCCTAATTTTAATTTTAGATTTTCAGATCTAAACTCTAGGACAGTGATGTCAAGTTCATGAACCTGGTTCTCTAACACAGTATTTTTACTTTCATTTTCACTAGCCCTAAGTTCTAGATTTTTGCACTTAGCTTTCGAAATCACACACTCCTTAGACAACTGTTCCTTTTCATTCTTTAGATCCTCATATTCATCAATGAAATCTAGAAGTAACTCGGATAGCCTTTCTTTAGACAAAAATTTAATCTTGTCTTTGAGATGAATTACACTTACCTCGGATTCCTCATCAGATTCTCCAATGGCCATAAATGCTTGTTCATCTCCATCTTCATCATCTGAGCTTTCATGTGAGCTTTCTCCTAAGCAACAACCATAGCCTTTGTTGATACTTTGTTCTACTTGGGTTGAACCTGTTCCTTCTTCTTGTTTCTTCGTTCAGCTCTTTCCTTCTTCCATTCAATTTCCCATTGAGGGCAGTTTTTGATGTGGTGATGAGTCTTCCCACACTTGTAACACCCTTCATTGGTTTGCTTTTCAGGAATCCTTGGTTTGCTATAGCTTCCACTCCTTGAAGGACCCTTTCCTCTCATTAGGTACTTTTTGAAGTCCTTTGTGATCATGGCCATTTCATCATCTTCTAGTTCAGAACCTTCAGTGATTCTGAGTGCCAGACTCCTTTCCTTATTGGGTACATCCATCTTCATGGTTTGCCTTCTAAGTTCATAAGCAGTGAGATTTCCAATTAGCTCATCCAACTTAAGAGTGGCAATGTTCTTTGATTCCTGAATGGCAGTGATTTTGCTCTCCCAAGTGACTGGCAGAACCCTTGTCAAAATCTTCTTAACTCTGTCATCTTCAAGAATAATCCTTCCAAGAGACTTGAGTTCATTTGTCAGTATGGTGAACCTTGTATATATCTCCTGAATGGTTTCCCCTTCCTTCATGGTGAAATTATCATATTGAGAATACAGTAGTGTTCCTCTGGACCTCTTCACTTGAGGTGTTCCTTCATGATCCACTTGCAAAGTGTCCCAAATTTCCTTAGCAGTGGTACAACTTTAAATTCTACTGTACTCGTCTGGACCAAGTCCACACACAAGATATTTCTTGGCCTTAGCATTCTTCTCCCATTTCCTCAAGTCCTCAGCAGTGCAGTCAGCTCTTGTTTTTGGCACATCTACTCCTTTAACATTCTTCTTCATAGTAGCCAGGGGACCATCAGTGACAATGTCCCATAGCTCATAGTCTTCTCCGATGATGTGATCTCTCATCCTGTTTTTCCACCAAGAGTAGTACTGGCCATTAAAGAGTGGTGGCCTGGTAGTGGATTGGCCTTCCCAGTTTCCAGGTGGTGCACTCATCTTGATCTGTTCCTAAGGTGTTAGCCTCTTCAAGGATAAACCGCTCTCATACCAATTGATGTTTTAACTTCAATACCACACAAGAGGGGGGGGGGGGGTAATTTGTGTGGTGTTCAATTTTTTGCTTAAACTGATTATGGAAGGACCTGGTTCTTCTAAGTGTTCCTTAACCTACTATTGCTGAAATAGTAAATGAGGAAAGCAAAGAACACAAGTATTTTACGTGGAAAATACCTGGTTCAAAAGGTGAAAAAAACCACGACCTTCTCAGTAGGATTTTCCCAAACTTTCCACTAAATCACCGAGCCAAACACTGCATTACAAAACCCTTTTGTAAACCTAGGATTAACTCTAATCCCGTTGTGGCAAACAACATCTAACTGTTGCGACAACTTCAAGTTAATTCTAACTTGAATACTCTGAGTACCTATTACAATTGCCTCTAGATAAAGCTGAAAGGTACAATATGAAAACACTTACTACAATTGAACTAGAATAAAAGACAGACACTTGGAACCGGTTCTTCTATCTGGTTCATGTAGCTTCAGGTTTGCACACTTGAATCAACGAACTGCTTGCAAAAAGCCTCGCTATTTTGCTCTCAATTCACGTTTGACTTCTGCTTTTGTGCATTACCTGTAAAGTGAGAACATCCTGCAATTTATAGAGTTAAGATTAAGGAATAACTAGAGTTCTAATGCTACTCTTCCTTGGTGGAAGAGTTCTAGTTGATCTCAACTTCTAACTCCTTCCCTATCTTGGATAGTGTTCTCTTTGATAAAGGAGTCCTTCTCCTTATCACTTATTCAACCTTTTCGATCAGGAGATATCAATTATACCAAGTTAATCTTATCTCCTTCACGTGCATCCCACATACTCGAATCTGCCCGTTTTTATGCACACAAGGGATGGACCTGGTTCATGCCTGAGCTTCCTTTGTCAATCTTCAAAATAAACCTTCACTTGGGCCAACAAAATCCATCATAGGGACAAGTCATTTTTTTTTCAAACAAAACAAACACACATATACATATTTACATCCCTCTCCCCACACTTTAAATTGTGGCATGTTTCCATGACACATAGATAAAAGCAAGAGGTAAAGAAACTCCCCTGAATCATCTAGTCTAGGTCTGAATTGAAGTCAAGATCTACTTTGCACGCCCGTCCCAGTGCACACATCCATGTTGAAATTTTCTTTTATGCCTTCTTTGGGTACACCCCACACTTGTCATGCTTACTCTCTCCAGCTCGCTCTTTTAAGGCCCTCGTCTTGAATTCAGAGTGTACAATCAGCTTATATCTAGGTTCCCCCATTGCTCCTTCCATCTTGAAGACCACCATTTCTTCCCCCACTCCGAGAATGAACTGCCTTTCCTGAATGTCCAGAATAGCTCTGCTAGTAGCCAAGAAGGGTCTCCCTAAAATAGAGGAACCTCCTTATTCTCTTCCATATTCACCACGATGAAGTACACAAGGAACACAAATTTATCAACCCGAACTAGCACATCTTCTACTGTTTCTTCAGGTATGATTATGGTCTGATCCTCCAGTTGCAAAGAAAAAGGTATAGATTTGATTTCTCCAATCTCTCCCTCCAATTTCCTAAAAATAGACAGAGGCATAAGATTAATAGAAACTACCTGAATCACACAAAGATTTTTCAAAGTTAGTACTTCCTAAAGAGCAAGGTATGGTAAAACTCCCTGGATCTCCATACTTTTGATGGAGCTTATTTTGCAAAATAGCACTACAATGCTCTGTGAGCTTGACAACCGATGTCTCTTCCTCTTTACACTTGTTGGACAATATCTCCTTCAGGAAATTAGCATATGCCGGCATTTGTGAGAGTATCTCTGTGAAAGGTAGATTAACATGCACTTGCTTGAGCACTTCTAGAAAATGCCCAAATTGTTTGTCCAGCTTCTCTCTTCTTTGCTTCTAGGGAAAAGGTAAAGCATGCATGTATTTGTTTTCCTCAGTCTCCTCATTCATTGAATTCCCATCCTTCTTCTTCTTCTTCTTCTTCTTCTTCTTCTTCTTCTTCTTCTTCTTCTTCTAAGCTCTAGTCTTCCCATTCTTCTTCTTCAGAACATCATCTAGATCTACCATCACTTCATCTTCTTGATTTTCGTTATTTTTCTGCTCCTCCACAATCTCCACTTGTCTTTCAATCAACTCACTCTTTTGTTTGCTATGGGGTCCTTCAATACTTGCCCACTTCTCAAGCACACCGTATTTATTGTTTCTTTTGGATTCCTTTCGATATTAGCAGGGGGAGTTCCTAGAACCCTCTTAGATAATAGATTAGAAAGTTGCCCCACATGTCTTTTCAAGTTTCGAATGGCTGTGCCCTGTTCTCGGATAGCTGTGCTATGAGTTTCAAGCCTCTCATCTGTCTTAATAATAAAGGCCTTCATCAGATCTTCCATGCTAGACTGATTGGATTGTGGAGGTTGGTATTGCTTCCTCTGCTGATTTTGAAATCCTGGAACTCCTTGTCACTAGGGTCTCGAATTATTTTGCTGCCATAGGTCATACTACCACTTGGTGAACTCCAAGGAAAACTTGGGTGCCTCTGCCCCATGGAGTTCAAATTATTGCCACTTGTGTAGTTGCCTCCGTCAAAGCTTCCCACAACATTAACCACTTCATATGTAGTTGAGGACTGACACTCATGCGTTGAATGGCTCATTCCACAAAAGTCACAAATCGATGATCGCTGGCTCTAGACCTTGGCTAAGGTTAACTTTCTTATCTCTTTGGCCATTGTGTCTGGCTGGGCTTGCATTGATGTGTTAGAGTCTACTTGATCAACCCAACTGATTTTCTTCTATCATTACTCTCAGCAGGCCATTGGTTAGCATCTTCAGAGAGCTCATCAAGAATTGCAACAATCTCCTTAGGAGTCTTCTTTTTGTTAAAGGACCTCTAACTGCAGTGCTTAGTGTTCGTCGTGAGGAAGGTGTCAGTCCATCCCAAAAGTCCTGGATTTGCATCTACAACTAGATTCTATTATGCTGACACTTTCTCACTATCTCCTTGAATCTTTCCCAAGCTTCGAAGACCGTTTCAGTGTCCCTTTGACAGAAGTTGTGGATTTCCCTTATGAATTTTACTGTTTTTGCAGTTAAGAAGTACTTGTCAAGAAACTTTTTAGTCATATCTTCCTATGTTCTGATCGACCCAGTTAGTAAGCTTCGAGGCTAGTGTTTTGCATCAACCTTTAGTGAAAAGGGGAATATCCTTAAGTGAGTGTTAGGATCTTCATTCGTCTTCTCTCTAAAGACACAATTATTCTGAATGGTTTGAAGCAAGCCTTGCTTCAACTCAAAATTATTTGCTGCTAGGGTGGAGGTTTGACACTTGACAGTCCCTGATTGTAGACTGGTCTGATATAATCACCTAATGCTCTTCCATGCATGGGAGTCATATTTTTAAATAGGTCTTCGACCAGGGGTCAATTTAGATTGAATATTCGATAGTCTCATCAGCAGCTCTAAGGGATGCTTCAGTTGCTAACCCTGCGGCTTGTTCTCTAGGTTATGCTGCCTCTCTAGCAGCTAAATCTACCCCATCATCACCGTTCTTGGCCATGTATTTTTGGGTTGAAGATTGCCCCAAGGATTCTCCGGTGAGTTCTTTCTCTTTCCTTAATTGTTGCATATGCTTTTCCACCTCTGGATCGTATGGAATCACTTATTTTGACAAAGATCGAGTCATGCACCAGATAAGTAAAACCTGTTGCCCTACACACAAGAGAAAATACGTGAAGAATAAAATAAAATTGGTTCCTGAATTAGCACCAAAAACTAATTTGATTGCCAATCCCCGGCAACGGCGCCAAAATTTGACGAGCGCAAACCACAACATGAAATTGATGCTCGCTAGGCCAAAGATAATATAGTTTAAATATCGTCTCCACGGGGATTATATTTAAACTATGTTCAAGTAATTTTCAGTTTAACACTATTCAAGATGATTATAACTTTGCCTGGGATGATTAATTACTAAAGTTAACTATTAACTAAATAATTAAGAATTGATCATAGAAAGACAAGAGTTGAGCAACACCGAAATATCAATGAGAGAAATAAGGGTCGTGACAGGATAGGTGTAAGATAGCTATTTGGGGTCCAACTCTAGTTCAATTCACTCTAATGTTCTAATAATTCTCACAAATTCACTCGATGATTAGTTCAAACGTGTAGCTAAGACTCCTCTCTCGATTAAATCTTAGCTCTACGAGGTGAACTAATATAAGTACTGTGAAAATATGCAAGCATGCGTTAATGGATTAGTCTTCAGGAAAACGTCTCTCAAATATTCTCCTGACTTGATTTAATCAACAATTCAACAAGTTCTTTCGATTACTTAAAATAATCCCCGAATTAAATCAAATAAAATAATGCAAAGATAATCACGAAACTATTCCTCTTTCGATTAAATAAACTGATGAACAAAGTTGCAAACAATTCAAAGCTCCATAAATAAATTCAAGCAAAGAGCTAGAGTTAAAATCCACAAATATCAATCAAAATACCATATTTGTCAAACCCTAAGCTACTCCATAATCATGGAGAAAATCATCACAAATAAAGTTAAATAATAAGAAAATATGAATTCAATCCAAACTCGGGTGTTGAGTTGGGGAAAGAATGATGAATCCTTGTGCTTTGAGTCTCCAATGCTCTTCCAATCTTTCGTAGGAAAAAAGTCCTCCAAAAATTATATTTTTGATGTATTTACACCATGTAGGGACGGGCTCGGACGAAACTATCCTTTCCTAGCCGAAGTGGGACAACACTCTAAGAAAATTACACAGGCGCGATGCGCCACGTCAGTGGGAAAGTTCAGAGAGTAGGTTTTTTTTCACTCGGCAGAAATTTTGCACTAGCACCTTGTGCACCGCGGCGCGCCCCGCGGTACCGTTGTGTATTTTTTCCAAAGTAATTTTTTTCTCAATTTTTACATCAAACTTGATCCTTGAGCCCAAACACGATCCCGACTTAATTCTTTTGGCTTATACTCAAACTTTATAGCTCCAAATCATCCATTTAGCTTCAAACTTGCTTCTTCACTCGAAATCACGTCCTACATAATATAAAATACATAATAAGTACAAAGTACTAACCATTAGGCTCAAATACAATCAAAGTGTAGTAACTAGAGTGTAAAATGTAACTAAAACACGAGTTCCTAGCCTACCATTAGATCATGATATTTTCACCGGATAAACATCAACATCATTGGATTGAGCTAAAAAAAAATGGATATTGAAATGCATTACTAGGTTGATTAATTATCGTTTTTAGATAATCCACAATGATCATTCAAAGAATCTGTACTTTATTTATTTAAAGATTCGCTTGAATAGTATTAATTTTTTTTTTGTTTGCAAAAGCCTATATTACATGACTTGTGATACACGTGCAACGCACGTGCTGAGAGACTAGTATATATATTAAAACCCGAAAAAACAAAAGAAATGCGAAATTTTTATAACTCCGATAAAGTGATTTCCACGGAGGAACTTAGTCGAACACAAAAATTGCAACTTCCAATTTTTGACATTTGTTTTCTACGCTGGAGATTGTGATTGATATATTATCGCAAATATTTAGCGGTGGGGAAGGAGTGTAATAGCAAGAAAAACTTATTTGGGAGCTGAGAGAGCAAGTCGTTAGGCAGACTAGGTGAGCACCTCTAACCTCTTAAACTGAAGCCGGTTCCAATCTATATCTATATATTATTTAAAAGGAGAGCATAAAATCCTCTCCTTAAGCCAAGTGACAACATAAAGAAAAGCCACATAACATAATTAGTTACTAATTAGTTTTTTAGTTAATAATTAATTATTAGTTATTATATTTGAATTTAAATATCTATCAAACACGAAAATAATAAAAAATAAAAAAACTACCATATATATANATATATATATATATATATATATATATATATATATATATATATATATATATATATATATATATATATATATATATTACTTTATTTTAATTAATAATTAGTTTTTTAGTTAATAATTAATTATTAGTTATTATATTTGAATTTAAATATCTATCAAAAACGAAAATAATAAAAAATAAAAAACTACCATATATATATATATATAGATATATATTATTTTAATTAATAAAAATAGATATCTTATAATTAATTATAAAAAAATCGAAAATATAAATATATAAAAAATAACTACCCATTCAAATTGGGTGGGAGTAGTTTCAAGTTGGAGTTTTAAAATTATTTTAAAATAAAAAAAATTAACTATAATAAAAAAACGAAGAAAGAAGAAGAAAAACTACTCATTCAAATCGATGAGTAGTTTTAAGTTGGAGTTTTAAAATAAAAAATAAAATTAAAAAATAAAAATTACCATTTCAAATTGGAGAGTAGTTTCAAGTTGGAGTTTATAATTGTTTTAAAATAAAAAAACAAAAATAAAGCAATCAAAAACTTTTGATTCAAATTGTGGAGTAGTTTCTTTCTAATATTCTATATTCTATATATCTTCTATATATTATTAAAAAGAGAGAGAATAAAGCCCTCTCCTTATGCCAAGTGGTAGCCTAGAAAAAAACCTTATGGAATAATTAGTTAATAACAAAGAAATTATCTATTGAAAATTAACAAAGAAATTAACTACCTAAATTAACTACTAAAACATGGGGGAGAGTTGGTTTAGGTTAGTTAATTTCTTTATTTCATTTTTTAAAATCATTTTATTTTTTATTTTTTGAAATAAAAAGTATATCTATTCATTAAAATTTAAACAATATTATTGAGAAAATTATAATAAAATTTAAAATAAAAAATATATATTTTCAAGAGTAATAAAATATGTATCTTCTATTATATTACAAAAAAATAGCAGACAAAAATATTAAACAAGTAATATGCTAATAATCTATCTATATATTATTAAAAGCCAAAGAAAAAGGCACCACATTAATACAAGTGGTAGCCTAGANACCAAAGTTGGTCGCTAATTAGCTTACCAACTTTGGTCCCTAAAGTGAAGGGACCAGCAATATAGCGACCAGGCATGTTTGATCGCTTTTGGGCCTATAAGCGACCAACTTTGGTCGCTTTTTTGTGATCGCTTTTTACCGGATTTCTAGTAGTGGATTGACTATACTGGGTAGCAACTGCTTAAAACTGCAAATATATATTTCTTCCACAACTACACGTACTTCAATTCTAATCTTCCTTCTTCTATCAAGATTTCAAGAAAACTTACGGCTTATGCAAAAGATGGCTACTCACATTGATTTCATCAACGATATAACAATTTCGAAGATGCAATGGAAGTTGAAAGTTCGGGTTGTCCGTCTGTGGGAAGTACCAGATCGTTTTAATCAAGGCACTATATTCTCGATTGAATTGGTTCTACAAGATGAAAAGGTAT